TAGAAAGACTTAAATAGTGTTTCCAGACTACCTGGGAAGATGGCTGCCAACCATGGCTATTTTGGCTACAAACGGGGAAGGCGTCAAGTTAGAAAGGAGGCGTCTTAGAAAGCCATCATCCGTTCTCAAGCCATCAGAGGCACAGGAAATAAGATCCAAGGACGTTAATATCCCTAACGTGAGCATTCACTGTCCTTCTTCAAGCAGGCACAATTTGTGTGTGTGTGGGGAAGGCTAATTTATCCAACTTCCAGATTCTCTCATTCGTAATTTCCAGGTCCAGACCTTTATACCAACAAGGATGATTTGGTGTTATATCTGGACTAGCCTCTAAATATGTTGCAGGCAGAATTATTTTTCCCCTTGTGGTCATAACCAGCAGAAATAAGCAGCGTATAAGTGTTAGGCATGTATGTTTCTTCTTCTGAAGCAGCAACAACTTTTTTTAAAAAAAAACAACAGCAACTCCAAAGCCATTTTCTTAAGAGGCTTTCTTTGTTTTGGTAATGCTTGGAAACATTTTGCAAAGAAGTTAGAAAACAGGTAGATGGTAGAGTCCAGACAGAATATTCTCCAGGGATCGCCTTACTGGTTGAAGTGGGGCAGTGCCAGCACCCAACAACCCAATATGACAAGGCCAGAAGCGCTCAAGCCTTGCTTTTATTTATTACTTGCCTCCTCCCATCCTTCCAGACAACCTGTATCTGTCTAGGCAGGTAAGGAAGATCTACCAAGTGCACAAACAGTTCTAACATCTTTTTTCAGTTCACACAACCGATTGAGGCCACGGATGAGTTTAAGAGACAGTAAAAGCTCTTTGATGCAGCTCCATATCTATCTATCTATCTATCTATCTATCTATCTATCTATCTATCTATCTATCTATCTATCTATCTATCTATCTATCTATCTATCTCAAACCCTTCCATCTGCTTCCTCAGTTTTCATTTATTTATTAGCTGATTTATTTACATGCGCATGAATATTTATATCCCACCCTGCTCCAGCAATTCAAAGCAGCCAGCCACGCATAACCATCATTGGGAAACACAGGAGTTTCACGCACGTCGATCGTCCCGATTTGGGACACTCGTCGCCAAATGAGGGTTGTTTTCCCCCCCCCCTCCTCCGGAGTTTGACCCTAGTTAGAGACCGGGGTTGGTTTCACACGTTCGACATCCGCTCGCTCGCTCGCTAAGCGCTCGCAGGACAAGAGCGAGGCCGCCGGGATTCCAAAGGCGGGCGGCTCGCTCGACCTGCCGCTAAGGGAGCCGGACCGGCCTGGGAGGAAACCGACGCGTGTTCGGCTCCCCACCCAGGCCGAGCCTGCTCGACGCACGTGGGCTGCTGTTGCGAGTTCCTCGCCTCCGACAGCCTCATTCCGGAAGTGGCCGCAACGATCTTCAGACGCTCCGGGGATCCCCCCGAGCGAGGGCTAAGCCCACCCGGCGGGTGGAAGCCTCCCCTTCCCTTCCCCCGCGTGTTGGCGCCGAGCCCTGGCGCTCCGCGCGTGCACGTGCACGTTGGAAGCCCTTTCGCCCCCCAGACACGTGTATAACCGATGAAGCGGCCAGGCCAGGCCTGAAGACAGGAAGAACCGGGGGAGGGGAGGTTTGGGGGGAACGGGGGGAGGCGGAGAGCTGATTCGCAACAACTCTTACCACCCAGTGTGAGGAGATCCCTCCGGGCAAGGGAGAGAGAGAGAGAGAGAGATGGTCATCGGAATGGTCACTTTGATCACCATTACCACCACTGCCCTGCCCGCGCGTTGCAAAGCTGGTGTCCAGAACACGGGTTTCAGCCCCTCCCTTCCTTTTCCTTTGCAGCAGCCAAGAGGCCGCTTGGCTGGCTGAGAATGCACGTGTGAACGCAGAAACCCGGGAGAGAGAGAGAGGAGGGGGAGGGAGAGGGGGGGGA